CATTTGATTTTCATTTGGAAATTTCGTGCCACTCTTCTCTTCTTCCCTTGTTGGGTAATTTCCAATACAATGACGAATTTACCCATTTCGTTTTCATTGTTTGTTTCGTATTCAAGTGTTCCTTTTCCTTTTTATCATTGTGTTAAAAAATTTACAGAGTACAAATAGTCAATTTTTTTTAGGGAAAATTTTAATTCAGGGTATGTTTAGAAAAACAAAAAATTCAGTTTATTGAAAATTTTACAAAAATTAATAATTAAAATTTTAATTTTTTTTTTTTATAAATCTATAATTATTTTGTGAAACTTAATCTTAACCATTGGCAAATACTCTTCCTACTTAGTCAACCACATATATGACACTAGCAAGCGGTGTTCATGGAACAGTTTAGTTTGATTTTAGGCTAAATTAAAAATTAAATCGATCATTATAAATTCAGAAATTTAATAATCAAATTAGATCTCAAAATATGTAGAACAAGAACCGAACTGTAAAAATAGATATATTCTTTTATATTTAAGATTATCTAACACAATAAAAATTGAGTCTACCTATACGTGTACTCCAAAAATTTCATTAGTTTAGTTCATAACTTTTTAAAATATTCTCCACATTAACTTTCATAAAATAGTGTAGAAATAAAACAACTCATATTATATAAAAATTACTATAAAAATGGAATTTTTAGTAATATATAAAGTGTCAAAATCATATAAATAGTGAAAACAAAAAACTGTAATTATATTTTTGTACAAAGAGAGAGCATTTTGTGAATAAGTTCAATGAATGCCCCACCGACGTCGGAATGAGAGTGAGGTTCGAAGAAATCAATGAGAAGAAAAGATATTCGTGAAACAGCATAGGCATAATAAAAAAAATTAAGAATAAATTACTAATAGGTCCTGATAGTTAGACTTAATTCCCGTTAAGTCGTATTGAAAATAAGTCTTAGTAAAATTGTCGTTAAAAATAATTTTTTTGAAACAATTTTTTATATATGTCTCTAAAAATTGACAATTAGTGACTTTTTATCACTAAAACTTACAATTAATGGCTTTTTTTATGACGGATTTTTCGTATAGAACTTATTAGATAATAAGTCCACTTATTAAAGAGCTACACGTAAGTACTTCTAAAATTAATAATAACATGAAAAATTTTGCTTTGTCTTAATTCAGTTCTCTTTGAGCCTTAATTCGTGAACTGAATTGTAAATCAAATTTTGTGATACCAGAACCAATTCGTTCCCTAATCAATCAACATCAAGTCATACCATTTGAACTTGTTCAAATCAATTTATTCTTTTACGTACCAATTTTTTTGAACCCCTCTACAAAGCATCAACTCAAAAACAATTACTGGTTTGTGTTTTGACTATTTTCTTTCTCTTACTTTTGGCTTTCTCTTTTGTTTGCCTCTCATCATAGGAACACAAAAATGATTATCAAACTAAGGATCTATCAGAAAGTTTTTTTTTTTTTTTTCCTCTAGAAAACAACCCAAAATTTACCCCACCAAAAAAAAAAAAACAAATTTTACTGTAACATGTTTGACATCATTCTTTTGTTCTATCTTTTTCCTTTATGTTTTTTGATTGAATGATGATAAACTATTTGAATTTCTTTCTTCATCTAGAAAAAAGGTGAAAGTTTCATACTGCTAATTTTTGACAATTGTTAGAGAATTAAAAAATGAGAAGTGGGAGCATTCTCATTCTCAATTTTTTGAAGTGGGAGTACTCAAAGGGAGGGTAATCTCATTTACCCACACATATACCAAATCATAAGAGCATCTGTACTTTCTTTTGAGCAGAAAAGGACTATATATTAATTAGTTGAAGAAGAGACGTCCATGTGAGCCAAACAACTCGATTCCTGGGGGTGTAAAGCAACCCAACTTACAGGTAATTGTGACATTGCACTTGCATGGGCAACCCAGGGTGTAAATCATAAGAGCATCTGTACTTGAATTGTCATTTTTGAGGTAACACTTTGATAATGAAATTTCACACAAGAGTTTTTTTTAGTTTGGTGTAAGCTTATTGATAATTTCCTCGTAAGTGCTGCTTGGCAATCCTTACTTTAATAGAAATTTCTATTGATCAACGAAAAATAAAAATAAAAAGAGTACGCAAAAGTGAGTTAGCAATTGACATGTCTTGAATAATGCTAAAAATAAAATGCCAATTTTATTTTACATTTTTTATAAAAATATTAAAGTAAAAATAATAAAATATTAAATTTGACATATTGGGTGAAGTGTTTTTTAGAGATATCAAATTTACATATGCCAATTTAACCCTAAGTTTTCACACAAAAAAATAAAATAAAATAAAATAAAAAAGTAAAATTGACGTATACAATTTTTAAAAGTTTCAGTGAAAATGTTCTAACATGCGAATCTTTTGAGATTAAAGAAAGTACACTTGATCATACACAAAGCTTCATGTTAACCCTCTAAAGTTTGGAAGATTCCACAATACACACTCTTATTTGGGTGGTATTATATTCAAGTTATAATTTTGATACTATTCTGTGTTATAATCGAGCTATTTTAAGTCATAATCAAAAAGACTATAATAGATTATAACTAAAATTCTCTTCGATTATAACCAAAACAACAATCATGATAGGTCATAATTAATATCACAATAAATCATAAACAAATCATTATGATAACCAAACAAAATCATATTAACAAACGCAATATATCATAGTTAAGTGATAACCAACAGGATCGTAACTAAATATAACAAAAAGTTATAACTAAACGTTTGATATACCTCATTTATAGATATGTATTATAGAATTTCTCCAAAATTTTTGAGTAATTCCCAATATATGATGACAAAAACTACTTTGCCTTTGTTTTGTGCTTACAGTTCCACTGTTTCTAAAGTTTGTTTAAACCTGCCATGAGCGTTCATTAAGAATATCTTTTCGACTTTGGAGTAGAAAACTCTGCAAATCCTTTTAAACTTTAAGACTTTGAATTTAGGATTTGAGTAAGGATTTATACAGAAAATGAAAATGAACAAAGAAATATAAATTAATTTTATTTCATATTTCCCTTTATTTTTCTTCTTCTTTGGTAATCATTACTAAAATAAAATCCAATACTCAAACACAACGTAAAACATTTTACATTACTAACAATTGAGAAATGTTCTTCTGTTTCTCCTACTAGCCTATGCTTACAAAATATTCAGGTGGGTTTGGCATTCAAATTATATCCCAAAAAAAAAAAAATTATAAATTTTTTTCAGTTCATCTAGTCTAGAAATGTCTAAAATATAAAATAATAAAATAAAATAAAAATTCACCAAAGAAAAAAAAAAGGCAGAAAAATAAAAAACTTAGCCAACTTGGTTTGGCTTTTTATCTTTAGTAGATTTTATTTCAATATATATATATATATTTAACTCTTTTGATAATTTTATTAACAAGCTCAATAGCGTAAATGCCTACTATCATTTCTCAATCAGTCCGATAACTTTTTCAACGAAATTTTTTCCAAAAAATAAAAACTAATTTGATAAAAATAAATATTAAAAATATTTTTATATTTTTAAAAATTATTTTGACCCTCCAAAAAGATAAAACTATATAAAAATGATAAATACTTTTGATTTTTTAATTTTTCATGAAATTAATTTTTAATTTTTTTTAGAAATTTTTCTATAAACCAAACTAAACCTGACGATTCTCTTGTGGGTTAACAAATATTTTTTAACTGTCCTCCAGCACTAAAAAAAATATAAATTAAATTAAAATTAAAATTAAAATTAAAAGTTGTCTTTTGCTTCACTTCTTGGTAGTAGAACCATATCGCCGTGTGGTGGAGCCTACTACACATCATAAAAAGTACTCCAACCCCAAAGTATGCATTTTCAATGGACTAGTGTAAAGACTTTATACCATAAATCATATATTCATACACAATATCACATGCTTTCAGTATTGCTATTCAGATTTAAAAATTAAATTCATTTATTAGACCCAGTGATGTAATATTATTAAAATATTAAATTAATTCTCTCATTTATTTTTTAATTATTAATTAATTATTTTCTTAATATATCACTACATCTAAAAAAATAAGTCTAAAAAATAAACTTTTATACCAAAAAGCTTCACTTGTATTGTTAAAGCATCAAAATCAGTGCTGCACTCTTTATTAAAGTTGAAACGTATCCACTACTATCACTTCTTCAAAACTATTTATATGTAATTGGTATTATATGTATTAATTGATATATTAATTAATATATTAATATATATTATAATATTATTATTTACTACATCTATTATATAAATTATAAATATTCAAAACTTCTAAAAGTATATTATATTAGTATACTAATTAATAGTGCATATAATATTAGTCTTTATATATTGTTTGATTTATTCAAATGAAATAGAAAGAAATTGAGTAATAATGAATAATAATTCTATTTGTAACATTTTTATTATATTTTAAAAAAATTAAAAGTGAATAGACATTATGATAAAATGATCATTCTATTTTATTTCAATTCGTTGAACCAAACACACCATGAGTATCTCCCAATGTTGAATTGTTAAAATGACATCAAAATCAAAATTTGAAATGCTCTAAATATTTTTTTCTTTTGAAAAAAAAAAGAAAAAAAAAAGTGAAAGGGAAATAGGGGAAGGGTAGTTACATTCACAACAGTCATATTTGAATCCAAATTTCAAACTTAATAAAGGAGCATCTTAACTGCTACGTCAACCCCATGATCTTCCAAATTTGATATGTTAAAGTACTACAAATGTTAAAATTTAATACGGTAATGATACATCCCACTAAAAGTGATGTTCTAAAGCACTACTAATGAGTTGGCAAGCACTTTAAATAAAATAAAAAAAAAAACAAGACACAAGCGGTGAACCCCGTCCACTGCCACATCACTAGTGGTGTTTTTAGAACACCACTTCTAGTGGTCTCAAGCATTATTGAATTTAATAACCCTACTCCACTGGGGTAAATTTTTTATTTTTAATTTTATAATTTCATTCACAAAATAATCAAATACAATTTGTAAGCCCCATCAAGAGAGAAAAGACTTCTACCAAAATTTGCCAATTTACCAAACTTTTTGCACAAAGTAAAGCAATGTCACATTTTATGAGATCTAATAGAAACTGCATTGAAACTCATTCTTTTGTCAAAACTTATTATATAGCTATATGGCAGATGATTTATAGCAACTACAATGAAAGCAGCTCTTACACCACAGAAGAGGGCTGAAATACATGCTGAAGAATGTCTCTGACAATTTCTATAATATCCTCTTCTTTGCATGAGGTTACAAACTTCACTGCAAATACAAAAACAAAAGGATCTTCAATTACTACTATCAATATTTATGCATGTGGGGATAGACAGACCTCCCACATCTCAATTATGTACTTTGATTCTTGAAAGGAAGACTACTCATCATTGCTCTCTCTTTATTTACATATTCAAAGGTAATATTAAATTAGTACCATATAAAATAAATAAGGATAAATTTTACTCACCTCCCTTAAAGTTTGAAAAAAATACAATTAGCCCCACACTTTTGATATAATTACACGGACCACCTATTTAGTAAGATTAAAATGACTAAAACTAATGTGGATGATAGGTAAACACTGAAATAAACAAAGATAAATATACATTTGAGTAGAAAATATATGACAATATCATTTTTTCAATCATACAATTACTAATGAAAAAAACTTAATTGTTATGTCAATTAAAATCTTAAGAGAGATCAGTATAATAATGTTAAAAATGTAAGATTAACTATATTTTTTTTCTAAGGTGAGTGTGATTTATCCTTTTAAAATAAATAAATAGAAAGTTCAACATCAGGCTAAATTTGATGACCAAGATGCTTCATACAGTTGAAATATATGTATCTAGTTTAATGAGACCCAAAAGACTTGTTTACACTGAATTAATAAGAAACCTTGTTTCTAGAGACAAAAAAACAAGAGGCAGAACTTGCATGTGACCTCTGTGTGTACAAAAAGTTAGGCCCCAAATGACTCCTGTATCTCTTGTGACCAAAGATGGAACCATTGACAGCACCAAAATTTCTAAAACCTACTTATTATTTTAATATCAATTTAAAATATTTTCAAATTATATAGATTTATCCCAATTTTATTTTTTTTTAAATTTAATAACCATCATTTAAGAATTTCTTCTGAAACTAAAAAATTCTAGTCATATTATAATTTAAGGTCTATTTTTTTTTTTTTTACATATTCGACCTTGTAATTGGAATTCCGGGTACATTCTTTTATGTGATAAGTTGGCTGACTTCACTTTCAAATTACTTACCACAAAACCAAAAAAAAAAAAAACCTTAACTTTCAAAGCATATGCCTGAAGTTAACATTATCAGTAGGTTCTTTAAGCGCAATCACCTATCCAAATACCCTTTTTTTCTCTTATATATTTCCATGAATTTATAGACAATGGACCTCTTTGGTGTAATTTTTACAGGTAAAAAATGCACTAAACATTTTAATACAAATTTTCAAAAATAAAAATAAAAGTAGCTCTATAAACTACAACAAATATCCTATTGTAAAGTTCTCTAATCACACTCCACTTTGGCCATCTTGTTATAATTAAACCTGGTTGGAAACTTCAGCTCGTATAAATACTGTATTGGTGCAATAGGTCGTATCTATTCCTAATACAGTAGAGAACAGAAGTCAAAGCTCCAAAGGTATCAATTGGAGTTGAGAGAGAAAGAGAGCTGGCGTTTGGTGAAGCCATTGATCGCAAGGAAAATGATAAGAGAATAGGAAGGACCCAAGTATTAAGAGGTAGGTAGATAGAATTATTAACATAAACATACACACATAAGAACAACATCAAAATCATTTCTCTTTTAAAGATTTGGGATTGGAAGATTACTAAATGCAGCAAATGGTGGGTCGAATTGGGAACCCCCATGACCAATTAATCATAGTCAAGGTCAGCAATTGCCACGCTCACTAGATGCTTTTTTGATAAGGATAGGCAGACAATACAGCCAGCCTGTGAAGAGAGAGAGAGAGAGAGAGAGAGGGGAATAAATACAACTCCTATCCTACCCCAAGTAACCCCAACACATTCCCTAGCTTAGCAATTAGTGTTGAATTCACACGTGTGGCTTGAGACCTATTTGACACACAATTTTATCATAACTCATCACCACTAGACATTGATGTATTATGACCACTAGATACAGCTGGTGGAAAAGGGTACAGGGCCCTCTATACACAAAATTCCAAAATCTTGTAGGATGTTGTAGCATCCTTAACATATTTAATCCAATAAGTCTAGGGCATTGTGATACCAACCTAACCCTTGTATGATAGGTTGGAAGTTCAAACCTTGTTAGAGGCGAGGTTGAATAGAATAGTTTCATTAATCTCTATCGGTATCACCTATCACCTGTTGTTGCAGGTTTATTCACCTCCATTACTTGGCGGGTCCTCTTCTCCATACCCGTCACACAAATGATTCTTAAAGTATGTATTCTGTTATATTTTACTTCTTCATTTTTTAATTGTTCTACTTTGGTCTTTTAAGTATGCGATTTACTACATTTATCCGCACCCTTTCGAGGCTTAGAGCGATTCAATCCGTTTGATGGTGATAAATCTGGGCCCACCGATTCTTGGACTTGCGATAAATTCGGGCCCACTAATCTTGGGCTATTGGGCCTAAATAATTTAGTGGGCTCAAATTAGCCCCTCTTACAATGTTATATTTTACTTCTTCATTTTTTAATTGTTCTACTTTGGTCTTCTAAGTATGCGATTTACTACATTTTACTCTCTAGCATTAACACTATTCAAAATCAATAATAAGGTGAGATATTTTCATAATTTAAATAAAAATAAAAGAATAGAAAAGAAAAGTAAGATGTAACATAATTAAAAGTGCATCCTTTGAAAACTAAACTAAAATAAAATGCATATTTTAATGACCAAAATGCATACTTTTAGAACATATGTACATTCGTTTATTTTGATTTATTGTGGCTTCTTGTAAAATTTCAAAAATAACCCTTCGGCTGTTATTGATTTTGAATAGCACCTGACATTAGGGACTAACAGTGCAATAAATCACATGTTTTGGAAACTTGAAGTATACTTATGCTATCAAAAAAAAATTAAGAAAAAAAAGCCCCTCATTGAGAAGTTATTTAGTGGTTTTAAGAGTAGTAGTCCACACTATTTAATGTATGACACTTGTCTAGTTGTCTTGTAAAAGTCAACATAACAGTAGTGGACACCAGTCTTTCAACCAATAAAAAAACAAAATAGGGCACCATATAAATTTATCCCAGAACTACTATATAATTTTTCCTCAAAGAGAAACCCTAAATCGGATTTATTATTGGGAGGTCCATGAAATCACCTTCAATCACATCTTAAGAGAAAAGAGCATATAATCAAAGTCCTGGTTGAGAGAGAAACCCTAAATCAGGTTTATTAGTGGGAGGTCCATGAAATCAACTTCAATCACATCTTAAGATGGTTCAACTTCAGCTATTAGCTGGAACATCATTTTGCGAGCCAATTCTTTATGCATCGGAAGGGTAGTTATGAAAAGTCTAATAATTGGCATAAAGGTATGGTTCTTTTTCCCTTCTACTTCATTCTACTATTTAATGCCTATTTCAAAAGCAAAGCTTAATAAATTAATTAATAGAGACTGCTACAATTCCCTAGCAATAAACCTAACCATAATCCATTTATTGAAACTCAAAATGAAATGAATTTTGATTTCTTCCTGTATGTTAATTTCTTCCTATGTTTTGTAAGATAATGCAAATAAGAGAATGTGCTCAATTGTATCATCATTTTTTATACTTGACTATATTAAAAAAGAATGTGTAGCTAATGATAATGTCATTCCCTTTTTGTATTGGTAAAAAATTATAAATAACTTACCCAAAAAAATATTAATAATCCAACAAAATATATTATTTCACGTTTGGCTAACAAAATTAAAATTCAGACTAATAATCTATCCGAACATGTTATCTCCAATGAGAGATTACTGAATAACAAGAAAGGGGTTGAATACAAAATGGGGATGGACAAAAGGTTCGGATTAATTAACTAGATTATAAAATTGATACAATTTTGTTAATCACTCTTTATAATCTTAGGTCAAAACAAACATGGGACAAGATACAAAGGCCTAATTTGGCATCACTTATAAGTTAACTTTTACGATTATAACTTTTTAAATTATTAGCTTAAAAAAATTTAAATAAATTGTAGATCTGTTTAGTATAACTGTTCATAATATATATATATAATAAAATAAAATAAAAAACTGAAACTATTGGTTAAATAAGCTGTCAGACAGTGGTTTTTTTTTTTTTTTTTTTTTTTTTTTTTTTTTTTTTTGTGCGCGCGTGCAAGTATCTAAGATGCCTTGAAAAGTTACAATTATGACTAAAGAAAATGAACTATTTTGCCCATACATATTTAAGAGTTTTAAACATTCTAAAAAAGTTACAAATTATAACTAAAGAAAATCTCACATTTTTTTGGCCAACTAAGCTGAAAAAAATAATCTAAAATTACAACTAAACATCATTATTCAACTTATTTTAATCAAATAAACTAAATAAATTAACTTATAAATACTACCATACAAGGCCAAAATTCAAAAAATTGATAATCCACACTATCAGTCTTAAGAATATTAATCAAATCTATCCAAATAAACATGGCCATAACACTATGAAGTCATTTTAATGATTAACAATTGACATGTTCACTCCACTAGAGGACCCTCAACCACCCTATTAGAAAAAAATTCCAAAGACACAATTATCAAGTGAGATTTGTGGGCTCAAATCAATGCCCAAGAACAAGGGGCATCAGTCCAAGAAAGAAAAATGGCCAGCAAAGACTTTGAAAAATTTTACCCACTTTGGCAGTGAGAGAATCACCTTTCCATTGACTTGGTACCATCAGTGAACAAATACATCTGATCTGAGATGCAATATACTGTTCGTACAAACAATATAATCTACAGTGACGTCCTTGATGTAGGCCCACTGATGAGAGGATCTGATATGGCCGGTGGTCAATATATCAACCTTATCCATACACCTTTTTATTCAATTGGTAATGCTTTTCTTTTTTGTTTTCATTTTTTTTTTTTTTAACTTGAAACAATAATTTATTAGATATATTATTCTCATTTTAGAAAAAGTGAAATTGATTTTAAAAAATGAAAAATAACATTTTTTTAATATTTGTTTTCAAAATAAATTTTTACTCTCCTCTCTCCCTCCCTCTGGCCACCACCCCACTACTGCCACCAGCTACCCGACTATCAACATCATTGGCTATTGGACGGCTAATGACTAGTTTCGACTCCAACCACACTCCAACAAACTCCAAGTGCCTTCCAACGATTTATCGATCACTGCCTGTTCTGCCACCACTACTGTGAGCTATCACATCCATCACCATCCACCGCTAACCATCATCTCTAACAACATATCAATATGGTTCATTATTTATTTTCATTTATTTTAAAACATTTTTATACACATTTAAATTGTATTTAGATCATTGATTTGAATAAGAATTTAGAAGAAAAAAATTATATAAAATGTGACTATATTTTGTTCACTTATTACCCACACTTTTCCTATCATTTTTCAACTCTACCTAAATTGATAATACAAACACACTTAAAATTTTGTTTTTTACCCGAAAAGAAAAATGAAGACTTGATTCACGTAATTTTGAAGAAAAAAAAAAGCCGACAATGTTATGAAATGACACCAAAGAGTCATGTCAAATAAAAAATGCTCCATAGCTTTAATTACAGTGCCACAAAGACCACGAGGCATATTACAGTGCCGCAAAGACCACGAGAGGCATGAATTGTCATTAAACTTTTGTCCCTATGGGCTGGTTAACATCACCGATCATACCAAAGGCCTATCTTCTGCTACTTATCCACAACCCACCCGACAACAAAGGAAGCCCTTTCAGCCCAGACCTATGTCAAATGCATCAGTGGTCTCATACCATGAAAAAAGCTGAAAGTCAACGAGGCACTTACGGGTCAGTCTTGTTGTCCAAACTTATCAAACTTAATTATCTCTAAAGCATAGTTTGGGAAGTTAGTTTTGGTGGGTTAGGGGCTAAAATAGCCACAAAAAATAAAATAGACTATTTTAGACACAAAAAACAAAACATCAAATCCAACTCATAATCATTACACTTCTCTCTCACAAAAAAAGTTAAAAAAGTCAAAAAATCCTTCCCAAACCAGACTTTTTAGCCTCAGACTAAAATAACCAAAAAGTCAAAAAGCTAAAAAGCCAACCCACTTCCCAAACGGAGGCTAAGGCCTCGTTTGGGAACATGTTAATTTAGTAACTTTTTGGCTATTTTGCTAAAATATGAGCTAAAAAAAACTAATATATTTGGGATAACTTTTTGACTTTTTACGAAAAGATGTGCAAAAAGTAGAGAGAAAAGAGAATCTTTGACTATTTAGTATGAGTTGTTGGCTTTTTGACTAATTTAGTAACTTTTTGACTTTTTTTCTAAAAAGTTCAGTTGCCAAACGAGGCCTAAGTCTTTTTATTTTTTCACCTATCAACATCCGTAAAATATCCTTCCTTCACCTTCATCTCCATTATCAACGCTATTATGACTCTCCTCCCCTGCCAACAATCACATCCGGCTGTCGGTGATCATATCCGATGACTCCTCCAACGATAGTTTCCGACAACATTTTTTCAGCCTTTTTTGAACAAAAATAGCATCTATCTCCACCACATCAGCATTGGCACCACCTCCACCACTCACTCTCGCACAATCACTCATATCTACATACACAGCCTCACTATCATTTACTTATATACTTATTCATTCACATAAGCACAACTACACACAGACATATACACAGAGAAGGTGACATAGACTAATTTAATAAATTTATCAGAAACACATATAGTGAAATTACAAACGACAAATTTGATTAATTTACTCTTACTAATGTTCACTCACTCACTTACAAGAACTCACCTTGCTCTCCCACACACAAGGGGAGGAAAAAAAAGAAACAAAAAAAGGAGAAACGGATAAATTTATCACTGAAAAATAAATCTAAATCTGATTTGCAATAAATCTAGTTTGAGAGAGAGAGAAAGAGAGGAGCGAGATCAAGAAAATCACCATTGTTCATGTCATTTATAGTCGATTTCCAAAAAATGGCACCACCAACATGGAACACGGTAAATTTCAAAAAATGAGAGTACATGTGGATACGACAAAGAGTAATTATATATTTTTATAGGTACTCAGCCAAATGTCCAATTTTGAAATTTTTTGGACAATAGCTCCAAACTCTATTATTTTAAGGTCATAAAAACAAAAACAAATTGAAAGACTATATTACTCCTACTACCTATTGTCTATTTGTCCATCCCCTTTGGGGACTTCTATTTTGGCTAAAACATCCAATAACCAATAAGACAAAATGATACACCTTACAAATCAATCAATCACTTTTTATCTTACAACCATCTATTCAACTACAAAAAATTCACAAAGCATCAAAAACACAACTTGTTTTCATTTCATAAAATAGCCAAAAAGCAAACTAAAATAGCCAAGTCCTCAAACGAGGCCTAATATGGTGACGTGTCCCTAACATGTCCAAGTGGAGAAAAAATAATTTTTAAAAATAGGACACGTGGCATGTCCAATATGTATCCCGGCATGTCTAAGACACAAATATGGCAACTAAGTTGAAGTGTCTGTGCATCATAACCCAAAAGCCAAATCTGTCTATTCATAATCATCTGAAACTTCCTATTGTTTTTGCTAGACTGCTGTCTTTTACACCGTGAAAAATCTAAGCTATACAAAAGCCTCAAGTAAATCACTTTTCTGTAATACAGATTTAGTTGGTGGCTAGTAGGTTTCTAATCAGAATAGAACGGAACATAATGATTGATATTAGTGTTTCTGACTGTGCATAACATCTTATTTTTTTGGTACAACCATAGAAACACAAAATGATAACTGTAGATCAAATAGAAGAGACGACCGGAGAAATTTCGAGTACAGAAATATTACCCCAAGGAAGAACAGGAAATTCCCATCTCTGTTTTGGAACTGTGATAACATATGAAGCAACCTGCAAAAGATCCAAAACTATTACAAAGTAAAAAGACATAGCAAGTGCAACATTTCTGAATTATTAAATTAGAAATAAGAAATGTAAATGCACATGCCAGTATTGATGCAGCAAGATATTTGGGAGAATTATAAAGAGCTGATGTCTGATCCTTCTCATAGAGAAGATCCATGATGTCCATGCATGCTTCAAAGTTTACAAGTTTCCCAACCGTTGCAATTCCCCTAAACTCATATAAGACAGAAAAGACAGAATTCGTGACCCATTAGAATAAACAGTAAACTAATCTAAACCCTAACCATATGATTGCCAACATATTTTATAATGACGACACAACAAAAAACTCACTTGAACTGAATGAAAAGCTCCTCAAGGAATATAAAAGCAATATTAGATGTACCAATCTCAAAATCCAATACCTTCCAAGAAGAAGAGAAAGAGTAGAAAAACATCTCAGTTGAAGCTGACAAATGCAACCATCCACTATAGTTCTATTCTATGGGATTTACCTGCATTAAGACCACCTCCTGCAGAATATCTTCATTAACCACAACAATGGAAAATATAGAGCTGAAGTTTTTTTTAAAGGAGTTACAGAAATTTAGCTTACTGCTTCCAAGAAATCACGAGTTGTAAAATGTTGCTCCTTAATCATCTTGTCTCCCAAAGATTTCAAACATTTTACAGATAGGGGATGAGAATCATGCATCTGCAACCCATTAATTTAGTAAGAAATACAAGACTACACCCTAATGATGAAAGCTTATGATAAACAAGGTATGATAACCTACTTTGCTTGAGATCCATATAGAAACAAGGGCAAATAATTGCAGGTTGCTCTCCCTCATGGGATGTAAAAGCCAGTTTTCCATATCATTGCTATGTCTGAATCATTGCAAGTACAAGTTAATGGTCACAAATTTGTAGTAATAAAGACATGAAACAAACTTTTTTTTTCCAGCTAGAAAAGTATAAAACAAAATCTTCCACTCATAGACAATCAATTAGCATACTTAAATTCTGGTACAAAAGCATTCTCAACATTTCTGAATTATAATCCTCATAGCATACAAAGTGTGTATCAGGCTCTTATACCTAACTCAGTGACAAAACCTTTGCTGAGTTTAGCATGTTCGAGTTTTTTACATGTTTTTCAAATTCTATAGTTTGTTCATTCTATGATTGGTCGACTCAAACACTAAAAATAATAACTATTGACAGGTAAGGCAGAGGGACATTGAATACAATTTCTAAATCTCAATTCTCATATTTTCAATAGATAAACCTTTGGATTGATTTAGTTCAGATTTTTCAATGATGAACTTGAGTCTTGTTTCCCCCTGTAAATAATACCATCATATTTGTATAAGTTCACATATTTATAGATTCATTGGTCCCTCAAAGAGATTAGTGTGTGTAGAATTATTGGAAGATTTAATTAGTTTGATGATCTGTAAGCATTGTTAGTGGCTAAGATTGAGGAAATCTATAGCTAACAGATCATGATTTGGTCCCACGATTTTAGGGGATTCTACTAGTCTGTTACCAAATCTGTAGATAAGAGTTTCCTGTTTTATTGCTTTCTGTTTTAGATAAGTTTGATTCCATTCTATGTAAGTTGTAAATATCCCTACAAATTAGATGAGTATTATCATCTATAAAAGGGGGAATGTAATCCTTTATTTGATATAGTGGAATATTAAGTTTCTCTTCCAAAGCGACATGGTATCAGAGCATTCTCTAAACCCTAATTCCCTCATATGACCAAATACGGCAGAAGTGACTCAACTGCTTTCGTTTCCCAAATCACCTCCAATCAAGAAGCCATGGCTTCCAGCAACAGTAGTGCAGATAGTAACCTCATGCCCATTACAGGACACAAACTGAATGGGAACAACTATCTCCAATGGTCCCATTCCGTAATGATGTTCATATGCGGAAAGGGAAAAGACGATTATCTCAACGGAGTTGCTGCCAAACCAAGCAAGGATGATGAGAAGTTCAAAATCTGGAATTCTGAAAATAACATAGTCATGTCTTGGCTCATTAATTCCATGACAAATGACATTGGAGAAAATTTTCTTCTCTATGGAACAGCAAAGGAGATTTGGGAAGCTGCCAAGGAAACGTATTCTAACAATGAGAATACATTTGAATTGTTCGAGGTGGAAAGTGTTCTCCATGACTTCTGCCAAGGAGATTTAATGGTGACTCAGTACTTCAACACACTCAACCGCTACTGGCAACAGCTGGACTTGTTCGAGGAGCACAATTGGACCTGTCCTGACGATGGAATCAGGTATAGACAGATTATTGAACGGAAAATAATATACAAATTTCTGATTGGATTAAATAAGAATCTCAACGAAGTACGAGGGAGAATCTTAGGATCCAAACCACTGCTGAATATCCGGGAAGCATTTTCAGAAGTTCATAGAGTGGAGAGTCGAAAGAAGATCATGATGGGCTCTCAAGAATCTGTGACAGATCCTGAGAGCTCAACCCTTGCAGTTAGAGGAAATCCATACAACAACAATGACAACAGACCAAAGAAAGGACAGCCATAGTGTGATCATTGCCGACGTTCTGGTCACACCAAGGACACCTGCTGGAAAATCCATGGCAAACCTGCAGATTGGAAGCCTTCCCGATTTGCCAATGACGGAGAAAGACGGGGCAATCTCGTCTCAGTGGATGAAAAACCATCAACCGAACCCACTCCCTTCAGCAAGGAACAACTAGAAGTATTACAGAAACTGTTCAGCCAATCATTGCCTGCCCTTGCCCCCACTGTGGTTGGTACCGGTTCCTTGGCACACAAAGGTAATTTCTTAAGCGCTCTCAATGTTAAAAAGGAGAAGCTAAGTCCATGGATTATAGACTCGGGAGCATCAGATCATATGACTGGAGATGAGAAGATTTTTTCTACTTATAGTCCATGTTATAAAAATTTAACTGTCAGGATAGCCGATGGTTCACTCTCAAAGGTGGCTGGTACAGGTTCTGTTAGAGTTTCAAAAAACATCACACTTGCCTCAGTTCTTCTTGTGCCAAATTTAAATTGCAATTTACTATCCATTAGTAAACTCACTCGGGATCTCAATTGTGTTACTAAATTTGACTCAAATCTGTGTGAATTTCAAGTCTTGGACTCGGGGAAGATGATTGGCAGTGCTAAGATGTGTTCGGGGCTCTATCTTCTCAAGTTTAATGATCCTTTTCAAGGAGCAACTCACCAATCTGATTGTTCAGTGTCCAATAGTCCTAGTTCTTTTTTTGTTAGTCGTTCTAATCATGATAGTGCAATTATGTTGTGGCACTATAGGTTAGGTCATCCAAATTTCTTGTATCTTGAGAAGTTGTTTCCTTTACTATTCTATAATAAAAATCCAAATGCGTTTCAGTGTGAGATTTGTCAATTTTCTAAACATGTTCGTAACTCTTATCCCAATCAATCCTACAAAGCATCCCAACCCTTTTCAATGATTCACAGTGATGTATGGGGTCCATCTAGAATCAAGAGTGTTACTAGTTCTAGCTGGTTTATTTCCTTTATTGATGATCACACTAGACTTACATGGGTCTTCCTCATGAAAGAAAAATCAAAGGCAGGTTAGATTTTCAAAAACTTCAACACCATGATCCAAACACAATTCCAAGAAAAAATTCAGATTTTGAAAACTGACAATGCCAAAGAATATTTCAAATCCATCCTTAATGATTATCTCTTGAGTCACGGTATAGTTCACCAAAGTTCCTGCGTGAACACTCCTCAACAAAATGGAATTGCCGAAAGAAAAAACAGGCATCTTCAAAATGTTGCACGCTCCCTTACGTTCTCTACCCATGTACCAAAATTTTTCTGGGGTGAAGCCATCCTCACTGCGGCATATCTCATAAACAGGATGGCATCTCGTATACTCAACTTTCAAACTCCCTGTCAAATCCTACTTCAGTCCCTTCCCAATACCCGTCTCATCTCCACTATCCCCTTCAAAGTTTTTGGGTGCTCAACTTTTGTTCATGTCCATCAACAACACAGGGATAAACTTGATCCTAGAGCCCTTAAGTGTATTTTTCTTGGGTACTCTCCAACTCAAAAGGGATATAAGTGCTACTCACCGGTCACTAAACAGTACTATCACTACATGGATGTCACCTTTTTTGAGTACCAGCCTTATTATCCCAAATCTGATATTCAAGGGGAGCCTAATTTTACCCAGGAATACCAGCTTTGGGATATTGAAGAATCATCTCACCTCTCTCCTAATTTTGACCAATTTCGCCCATCGCTGAATCCTGAATCCATTCCTCTTCAACATCTCTTCCTAGAAACTCCTTCTCAAGATCAAACCAACAATCTGCCTGTCCCTACTAATCCACCTCAAAATCTGGACACTATTCAATCAACAAAGAATGATGAGTTGATTACCTACTCACGGAGGAGAAGGAACCAAAAGGAGATGGAACAACAAGCATCTCTTGAGCAAGCCCAAGAATCTGATCCAAGTCCTAGATCAAGTGAAGATCCATCAAGTAACTCTAATCCCGAGACTTCACATAGTGAGTTAACTAATTATGATAAAGATATTCCTATTGCTGTGAGAAAAGGTGTAAGATCATGCACAAAACACCCTATATACACATTTGTGTCATATGAAGGACTGTCACCGAAGTTCAAATCATTTGTTGCCAACCTCGACAACATTCAGGTTCCCAATAACATACAAGAAGCCCTTGGCTCACCTGAGTGGAAATTAGCAGTGTATGAAGAAATACATGCACTTGAATAGAACCTGGGAAATCTCAGAATTACCAACTGGAAAACGTCAAATAGGTTGCAAATGGATGTTCACAGTCAAATATAATGAAGATGGGAGTATTAATCAATTCAAGGCACGGCTGGTTGCAAAGGGATTCACCCAATCATATGGAATCGACTATGAGGAGACATTTGCCCCTGTAGCCAAGTTAAACACAGTTTGTGTTCTACTATCTTTTGCTGCAAATCTTGATTGGCCTCTTCATCAACTAGACGTCAAGAATGCCTTCCTAAATGGAGACCTAGCTGAAGAAGTTTACATGGAAATTCCTCCAAGATTTGAGACACAAACTATACGCAACAAAGTTTGTAAACTTAGAAGATCTCTATATGGGCTCAAGCAATCTCCAAGAGCCTAGTTTGAGAGATTCACAAAGCTAGCTAAGAGGCATAGCTATTCTCAATGTCAGACGGATCATACTCTATTTGTTAAACACTCTCCTGCAGGAAAACTTGTTGTCCTCATTGTATACGTGGATGACATAATTCTAACAGGAGATTATGAGGAGGAAATCTGCACTATCCAAAGTCTTTTAGCTACAAAATTTGAAATCAAGGACCTTAGGAATCTCAAATACTTCCTAGGCATGGAAATCGCAAGGTCAAGAAAGGGAATCTCTGTCTCCCAAAGAAAATATGTCCTGAATCTCTTAAAAGAGACTGAAATGCTCGGATGTAAGCCGGCTGATACTCCTATGGATTCAACAACCAAACTAGGAACTAAGGAAAATTGTGCACTAGTGGATAAAGGCAAATATCAAAGACTAGTTGGTAAACTTATATACCTGTCTCACACCAGACCAGATATTGATTTTTCTGTTAGCATGGTAAGTCAATTCATGAATAATCCAAATGAAGAACACATAGAGGCAGTGTATAGAATCCTAAGATACCTAAAACTAACACCAGGTAAAGGATTATTTTTTGAGAAGAATCAAAGAAGAGATATTGAAGTATTCAGTGATGCAGATTGGGCAGGATCAGTACAAGACCGAAGACCTACTTCAGGGTATTGCACATATGTGTGGGGTAACCTTGTTACATGGCGAAGTAAGAAGTAATCGATGGTGTCTAGGAGCAGTGCAGATGCTGAATTCAGGGCAATGGCACATGGCATTTGTGAGGGAATATGGTTACGAAGGTTGCTAAAGGAATTAAAAATTTCAGATCAAGAAACTATGAAAATGTTTTGTGATAATCAGTCAGCAATCAGCATTGCCAAGAACCCAGTACAACATGATAGAACAAAACACGTGAAGATTGATCGACATTTCATAAAGGAGAAGATAGAAGAAGGGACAATCAAGATGATGTACGTGCCCACATGTCTGACATTCTTACCAAGGTCCTACCGAGAAAGACGTTTGATGATCTGAGTTCCAAGCTGGGGTTAATAAATATTTACCGTCTAGCTTGAGGGGGAGTGTAGAATTATTGGAAGATTTAATTAGTTTGATGATCTGTCAACATTGTTAGTGGCTAAGATTGAGGAAATCTATAGCTAACAGATCATGATTTGGTCCCACGATTTTAGGGGATTCTAGTAGTCTGTTACCAAATCTGTAGATAAGAGTTTCCTGTTATATTGCTTTCTGTTTTAGATAAGTTTGATTCCATTCTAAGTAAGTTGTAAATATCCCTATAAATTAGATGAGTATTATCATCTATAAAAGGGGCAATGTAATCCCCTTCATTTGATATAATGGAATATTAAGTTTCTCTTCCAAAGCAACAGTGTGTTCCACTAAGATTAAGAGTATGGGCATGTCCTTTAGTCATCCCTTCCTCTATGCAATAATTCAACGCATAGACTGGAAAGTTTTTAGAAACAATTCTTTTTTTAACTTATGGGCATAAACTTGGTTACAAACTTAAAGGGCATTCAACTTATGCTATGACAATAATGTTGCATGGCAAGTATGTGAAAACACAAGGAAATAGCCTTTATAGTCATGCAAGAGTCACATAATTACAAAAATCAGTTAAATTTTTTGAAAGATAAACAAATATTGAATCATAACTCAATAATAATTAACCAAGTAAAGATTGCTGGAATGATTTTAAATTTGCTGGTGACCTCCATTTTGGTAACTGGGTATCAATGCAGCATTTTAAAAAACTACCAAACCCAAGTATAATTCAAAAGCATTTGACAGTAAATGAAAGGAAGCCAAGTGGCCAAATTAATAGATGAAGCCAAGTGACCAAAGAGAGAACTTTTGTACAAATCATCAAGCATTAACATTATGCAACTTAGCCACCAGGATTCGGTGAAGGAAACACTAGTTCTTGCATTGGTCATTCTCGTGATGATGAGCAAGAAAGCAATAACATAGCAAAATTTTAGCTGAGTAACCCAAATTGTCATTGTGTAACAAAGGATTTAAACGAATACATGTATTTATATTTCTTGACATTAAATTATAATTTTTAGAGCTATTTCAAACTTTCAACCTCAAAAATAACAGCCATTTTCTAACCTTGAGATGTATTTGAATAAAATTATATGATTTTAAGAAAAGGTTCATTGAATATGCTATATTAAATTATATAATTTGCATGTATTTCCAGTGTATCATGTCCTTCATTTTCTAAAATTGTCATATCTGCATCATGTTTTTGTCATGTTATGTACTAGAGCTAATTAGATCAACTCAAAGTTGAATGCAAATTATAGATTCAATTCAATTCAAGTACTAGTGCTAAATTAGATCAAATCAAAGTTTCACTCAATTGTGTACTTTATTTTATATTTTTTTCCGTCTTTGCTCAAGGGAAATACAGTTGCATCACGATTGAAGGTTTGTCACAATGGGCCGTAACATAGGTGGTTTTTACACTGCAAGAGAGATAAGAAGTGGCCAAGGGGTGCTATTTGTGGATATTTGAGTTGAAACTTGGTATAAATGGTGCTAGAGGTGTTGGTGATAGTCTAATAGAGATGGTGGTAATGGTTTGAGGGTGTCAGACTTAGTGGTGGTAAATTAGGAATTAAGTAATGATTGTGGTTGTTTGGTGAGTGCTCAAATGGTGACAAAGACCATGATGGTGGATTATTTCAGTAGAAGCTATGAAGCACTAATACTTCTAAATAGGTGCCCATTGCCGTGTTGGACAAGTATGTGACATAAACAAGGCAGCAACATGTACGGGTCACGCCACATGGCATGTACCTTTTAATTTTTAAAAAATTTTAAATTTTTTGGGGAAAAAGTAGGGACAAATAGGTCTTATTTTAATATTTTAAGAGAACCGCTATTCTCACTCCACTTTACTCCAAATACACTTCGTCCTTATTATATATAGTTATATTAATACCCTTGGAATTTTGATTTTTTCAAGAGGTGTATTTTGTGTGAAAGGATATTAATATAACTATGTATAAAAAAGACAGAGAAAGGAGTGTATTTGGAGCAAAATGGAGTGCTATGAAGCACGGATACTTCAAATAGGGTGAAATATCCGTATCGTATCCGTATCGGATACCGATACTCCTTTGATACTTGCAGATACGTATCAGATACTTATTAAAAGTATCGGATACTTCTTAATTAATTTTTTATTAATTTTGGAGTATCGAATGCTTAATTTTGAAATATCAAATATTCCAAGTCACGTTTTACTTGTTTTACAAAATTAGAATTGTAGAATTTCTTACATAGTATTATAATATAATATAGTTGTAAGGACAAATATAAAAATATTTTTCTAATACTTTGTTTAGTTCTTTGATAAGAAGAACATAGTTACTTAAATAATAGGTTTTGTCAAATTGATGTATCCTAATTGTTTCATGCATGTCTCCTTTAAGTACATAGAAAATAAGAATTAACAACAGAATATAACAATAGTAAAATTAAATATCAATAAATAAAACAAACAAGTAAACTTGAATACAATATTTTTTACTAGTGCTACAGGGAAAAGTACAGAAACAAGTTGTGGATTATTATATTATTGTAATATAAACATAAATGAAATATTTGCAAGACGTATTGAAATTTTAAAAGGTAAACAAGCTACTAGTTTAAATTAATACCTAATTTTTAAGGGTTAGTATTTTGCATTATAAATTACAGTGTAGTTTCTCAACGTTCTTTAGTTTATGTGTAACTCACTACTAATAATTTTAAAAAATATATTTTTCACCAACGTATCCTAGCCATATATGTATCTTATTTTTTTAGGTTTTGTCGTATGGCCGTATCCGTATCATATCTATATCCATGCTTCCTAGGTGAGTGGAAATAGCGGCTTCTATTTTAAAGTTAATTTCAAGAGTCATATTATAATATTTGAAAACATGATAGTTAAAATTTAAATTTATATGATTCATATCAAACCATTGACAATGCAACACAGATATATAGCTCCAGTTGTGAAGTTGAGAGACTGAAATCTAAACATCACTAGAGCCTAACACAAATCCAGTCTCTGCTAATTTAAATTTAGTTTGTTTTTATGTTAAATAAGTGCTAGTTTTTCATTAATTTTGGTTATAGCCAAAAAAGTAAAACAAATCGCATATCAGCCTTCATATCCACAAATTATTGAAATTCAACACTAAACTGTGTCCAATAATGGGAAAAAAAAAAAAAAAAAAAACTGACTTGGAGAGAGAATGGCAGAATCGATCAGCAAAGAGTGAAAATGCGGAGTACTTGACGATCGGACGAACTTGAAGTTCCTGTAGTTGGAACCAAAGCATTTTTAAAATAAAAAATAAAAACTAGAAAGAAATGAATGAGAACGAACAGAGGGGCTATGTTAGGGTTAGTTTTGAGGGATTTAGTGAGAAAGAAGAATTGAAGAGGAAGATACTACTTACATGAGCGGAGTGGATGAGGAACTCCAACAATCGAAGTCGGACACCTGAACACAACTCACTGCTCATCTCTCTCTCTCTCTCTTTGAAATCTCAGGGGGTTTAGAAAAAATTAAAACATATAAATCTGCGATGCTGGGGGCCTGGCTTCTTTGGAGGGAATTTTGAAAAGGAAAGTCTGGGGACCCAGACTTGCCTCCAAAATTTTCTTGCTGCGTGATTACGTGGTAGGAATTAATTTGTATTGTGTGGGATTTATGTTAGGTTTGTGTCATGTATAGTGGAGATTAATTTCTTAGGCTTCGTGTGGAAAGTAAAGTTTGGGGATTTTGTTTTTTTGTTTTTCTTTTGTTTTTTTGTTTTTTCTTTTTACTATTTTAGTTTAAAAAAATAAAATAAAATTTTTAATCTAATAATATAAAATATCACATCTAATCCATAATCATTATATTCTTATTCTCACAAAAAAATTAAAAAAGCTAAAAAAAAATTCAAACGAGATTTTTTAGTCCCAAACTAAAATAGTAAAAAAAAAAATCAAAAAATCAACTCACTTTCCAAACGAACCCTTAATAATTTTTGGATTCATAAGAATGGGTTTGTGCCAAAGCACTTATGATGAGTTGGTATATAGGTGTAGAGAGGAGATATTAAGGCTTGGTTTGAGGTATACTAAATAATATAAAAAGTCAAAAAGTTACTATCCTATATAAGTCACATCATCTTATTTAAATCACATCACTTCTCTAACACATCACATCAAACACAATCCAAACCTAACTCATATAAGTCAATAAATCAAAAAGTACACTTTTTTAAAATATCCCAAACCAACCCCAAAGATTCTAGTTGTTGGAGTAATGACAACCTTTTTAAGTGGTATATTAACTTTAAATTAACAAATCTAACTACTTAAAATGTTGAAAAAAAAAAAAAAATTTACTGTATTTGGTTGTGATTTTTTAAACATAATTTTTTAAAAAATTTGTACAACTTGTTTGATTATTCTGAAAAATGAGTTCCGTTTTCAAAAAATGTATTTTTAGGATTTGATTCTTCACGTGACGTGAATAAGCTAGGCATTAGTACAGTCTACTCATGTACACCTCATAGCCTCTGCCTTACCCGTTTATTACCTTTACCAAACCTTTTTCGCAGTTGGCTTCTGTTGATATGCCAAGGTCGGTAACACCGGAGCAACGACAACGGCCACCAACGAAGATGCTATTCAGGTGTGGTCGATTTGAGCTAAGGGTGATAAAGATCAGACGATGAAGAGGTTAGTCATTTGGATTGTGGTTCATTATGTTTTCATTTCATCTCCATTTCCCCTTTCGATTTTGATTTTCATTCTTCTTAATAATTTGTAAGAAATGAAATTTTGGCCAACAAAATTGTTCTTTATGATAGCAGTTAGACCAAAATCAGACTTGAATCACAAAACTGAAGTTTGTGGGTTGACCTAAAACTGATGTGGTTTGAGTTATACACCAAATCCCTAGTTTGATCTGAAAATCCCTTTCAGTATAGAAATCAGTCCGCTGCTTTGATTTCGGAAATTAATTTCATCATTTGAAACCAAAAGAAATTTATGAAGCTACTGGTAACTAGTTTCGATTTCCGAATGTAAGTTCCACATTTCGCACATACTAAGCACAGATTTTCTACTTTTCATTTAGAAAATTAACTTCATCATATTCCAATGTGGTCACAGTTTCCCCTTTCCCGACTGTGGTTTCAAAATCTCTATTTAAGTCCTCCATTTTCAAATTAAAGCAAAAAAAAAAATTGGGTACGTTCTTCGGGTTTGGTGTATAAATCTAGGACTTGAGCAAGTTTTAGTATAACTTACTAAAATATCAAGAACAAAAGCCCACCACAAAATGGATTTTATAAAACTTATTTATACAGTATTTATTGTCAATCTGGTAGATTCTCACCCATTTTCTTGACGAAATAAAGCATGCAAAATTCACTTACACATAAATTCAATTACTGGTTTTCCCCTCTTTTTTCGAACCTAACTCTTATTTTTGGGTTATCTAAAACTATCTCATACTTTCTTATGTCTTCACAAAAAACAATCCAAACAAAACTGTGAATGAAAAGGTGTGACTGCTAAGGAATATGATTCATATCAAGCAAAAAATAGAGGAGAGCCACCTTAATTGCCTTACAGATCATTTTTATGAGTACTGTGATGTCACTTAGTATCATACAGTTGAGCAAAAAAAAAGATATAAATTGAATTTTGGCCTTTCTTAATTTCCTTAAACCAACCAACTGTTTTTCGTTGTGTGCTATACCCTCTAAATATGTAGTAGATTTGGTAAACAGTATTGTTCTGTCTTAGGGTGTATTTGAATTATGAATTTGGATACAAAAATGTGTCTGAATTCCTTACCGAATTAAGTACATCTCATATTGTGTTTTTGGAACTTGTTTTGACCAAGACTTTATTTCAAACATATCATTTGGATTTTATGGTTACTGTCATTGACTTCGATTCTGATTTACTAAATTTCATTTCCCATAATATGTTGATAAACCAGCCAAAAGAGCATAGGAAACATGATTCTTATTTCTTGACAACTTTCTCTCCTCTAACAGGAAGTTGTACTTATTTCTTTACTTTTATTGTTGTCATCGTTGTTGATGTAATGATACCGTCAATTTCTTGTGATCGATTCGATCTCCGCTATACCAAGAGTCGCGTATTCTATTTATTTTTTGACAACATATTTATTAAATATAGTTCATTCATATCATAATGTTATCGTCCATCTACTGAACAACAATGAACATGAGGACCCCCATTTACTAAAGTGCACTATACAGCTCATTTACAAGGACCCCCATTTACTGAAGAAGCTTTCAAGATGAAGCAAAAGACAGGACACACACCGGACTCTATTGCATCTTGTTATGGTGAAAACGACGTGGAGGTAAATATTACTCCGCTGAATTTTGTAAATGTGTTACATGCATTGTTTAGTGAAACATGAATACATTGGAAAAAGCTTACTCTATTCACCTTTTTTTTTTTTTTTGTACACAGAATATTACATTCTACCAAAAAGTGCTTGTTTACACATACAGAATACTCGTATAAATGTTAGACATGTCTATTAAACTTGGTTTGGATAGTTGCAACTTATGCTATGAAATTAGTTACCATGTGCAACATGTCACTACTATTGCAAACGACAAAAACCTTTTATCCATGTAGTACTCTACAATTGTAATTGTACAAACATGTTCCTTTTTTTCTTTTCTTTTTTTCTTGCATAAACAACTCGCTTGAAATTTATGTTCGAAGTTGTAACTTGGTATTTTTAAGAAGTTGGAACTCATCACTTAAGTAAACCCATGACTTACTTCACATGTGTAATACGTGTATTTCATAGATGGATAGTGAGGGGTTTGTTGATGATGCGCAAGACCTGAGGTTGTGGCCAAACAAGATTGAGTTAGCCTTCATACAACTGATGGTCGAAGAGGTGAAGCAAGACCCTTTGTTAACTAAAAAAAACTCTTTCACCACAAGGCATTGAAGTCGGATTGGCGATGAGCTGTACAATCAGTTCAAAGTTAGGTACATGGTTAACCGTTTGAAACAAAAGTACCACCGCATCAAGCAAGCTTACAATACATTTGTGAAAGTGAAGAACCATACGGGGTTCAGCTGGGATGACCAAAGGAAAATGGTCGTGGCCCTAGATAATGTTTGGGATCAATATGTTAAGGTAACTACCACCACCTTAGATTTGAGTACAACCTTTGTACTGTAGTACGTTAACTATCAAGTGACTTACTTACCACATCTTTGGTTGTCTTATTTTTGTAGGCACATCTCAAAGCTAAAGTGTTCAGGAAAAAAGGTCTAGACCATATTGACTTGTTAGATGTCCTCTTTGCAAACTCCCAAGCCACTAGCGCACTTGCCCGTGCTTCAACCTAAGGACCCCTAACCCAAGGACCCCCAACCTTTTGATGAAGAAATGGATATCCAAAGTACATTCTTTGGTGTTGGTATCAACTTAAATACCGATTTTATGCCTGTTGGTGACGACATTGAGGGAGATGATGACCCGAAGGTAAGTAGGAGTAGTGGCAATGATGGTGGCCGAAAGGGTGCAAACTTTGATTTGGCATTTGATACATGGATTGCCACGAACCTTGCAAAAAAAAGAATTTTACGCGTGCCAGAACAAAATAGCTGAAGCGAGTCAGGCCGAGAAGAAAACAATATTCCATTGATGCATGTATGGACTGTTCGGCAACAATGGACAGAATCACTCCCGACTAATATGTTAAGGTGTGTGAGAGTTTCCGTGATGAAGCAACGAGAATAATGTTCATGAAGATGCTACCCAACATGAAGATGCATTGGGTTCGTAAGCACGCTTAGGAATTAAGTTTGACAAATGATGCAATTTTCTTTTGTTAAGCATCTAGTTTGGTGTAAGTCAATGTATGCGGCTGAAACATTAAAAATCAACTCTTAATTTTTTTTTTAATCCGTGTATTTCATCTGTGTACTATGGCTATGTAAGGAACTTGGAGGCTGTACCAAATTATGAGTTTGTCTGTCATGACCAGAACATTAGAGGCATATTTCATATTCAAGTTTGGGACTGTTAAGAACTTCTGTTGTTACTTGTGCAATGAATTGTCGACCAATGAGGTTGAGCAGAGAAGCCTCTACTATTCACACCCTTAACATGTTTGCTTGCTACAATTACTTATGCTTAAGAAAACTTATATAGTGTTGCTTGACCATCTCACAGACAGACTAATGCTGTGATTTTGTAAGCCTGATGCTTTTAGGCAAATCAGTGGGCTTACACATGATGATGTGGCCAGCTTACCAAGCTGCTGAATCATTGAGTTTTTATTATTTAGTGTTGTGGCATGCATTGAATTGTGTTACTGAGGAATTTGGCCATTTTTTAGATTTGAGATCATCGAATAATTTTCCGTTCTGCTTAATATGTAGCTTTTTTTAGGTTATATCTCTAGACAGTTCATTGCTGAGGGAATTTGACCATTCTTTAGATATTTGACATCATTGGATACTTTTGCGTATGGTATTGTTCTACTTAATATGCATTTGGGATTTGTTTGAGTTTATACTTGTGCCATTGATGTGGAGCTGTTCCACCATTACTTTTTGGTTTGGTCATAAATTTTAAATATTAATTTGGTTAACTTGTTGGTTGTGCTATTGAGACTAGATTCTAAGATATTGTGAATCTTAATTTGTGCTATT